CTTAAACACAAACATCGATGTTTCTTCAATTATAATACGTATGTTTAGCTTTTGCACATACTACATGTGGGAGCAAACTTGGAAGAAGACACCGAATTGGCTAAATATTTTGACATCATGAATATGCTAAACTGTGTTGTTGGTTATATCTGTAAAAACAAAGGACTGGTAAACCTTCACCAACAGATGCACTGAATGAGTGTATTATAAAACGACTTGACGCAGACATTTTAGAGTAAAAGAATGTAAATAATTGTAGTAAAGAAATCAAAATCGAGAATGTTATATTAGACCGGTACATTTTAGTTGAATAGCTCATTTATTATTGGTAAATTACGTCAGAATTGCACCACACGAACTACATACAAGGTGTCTCGGATACTGACTTGGATAGTCAGAAGTTAATCATGCTATTAGATCTCATTTGATTTTGATTTATAGCTTTAATTTAATTTATCATTAATTTCATAAAAGGGCAATCCCTTTTACTAACATATACGTGACAAACATGGACACACTATACAGACACGCGATTTTGTTATTTTACCGAAAGGTGCTGAATTATTTAAATTTAATTTTCAAAAGTTTACATATTTAATAAACTGCTAATAAGCTTTAAAATAAAGTGATTAAACTAATAGCAATCACGATATCTTTGAAAAACACGTATCGCTAATTGATTTGAAATAATTGGTTTCAACATTCTCATTTTATTTATTACGTACACGCTAATTGATTTAATTTTTCTCTTTCGTGTGGTAAATACCACGTTTATTACAGATTCAATATCTTTTCCTTATTTTGTTGTTGTTTTATTTTCACATTATCATAGTATCATCATATAATTTAATATTTTCTTTTCTCATTTTCACTGATTTATAATACATCACAATAATACAAATGAAAACAAGAATCTAAAATATTTCAATTACATTACAATTTAACATAATGGTAATCAGTTGAATACAGAGATGTTGCTTTTCGAATAAAGATAATTGTCTAGAAATCCTAGCATTGTTAGGTTTTAGTTAGGTTCTAGTTTTCTTGGTCTGAGGTTTTGGGGTCTGAGGTTACGTGATCTGAGGTCTTAGGTCTTAGTTTCTTTGGTCTTACCTTTCTACACACCCGCACCGTCGATACATAAACAAAACGATAGTGATCGTCTGTGAATGTTGATGGTGAAGGTGTGCAAGTCGTTTTTGATAGGAGGCGTAGTATTTAAAATTATTCGGCTTGAATTAGAGTTAAAGAATGCGGTTATGAAGTCACTTGATACATCCTAATCTGGTGTTAGTCATTAGCTTGATAATCCATTGTGTAAAAAAAAATGAAGTTTATTGTTCAGGTTTATTGGGGAATTTCCATAGAGATATAATAAGGATAGGCCTACTAGAGCGCTAACTGCAATGTATTCGATGTTCGGAATACGCAAAGCTGTGTGTGTGTACCATATATTCAGACAATCAAATTTCGCCTAAGCACTATCATTTTCAATGGCGCCCTCAATTTGCACAGAAAGTTCAGTACAGCTAATTACACGTATGTTTGAAATTGGAGCATTGCGGTGTAAGGGTGTAATGTACACAATTTTAATTTGTTTAAAATATTTGAATAAGATGCTCTACTTGACCTCCTTTTGGCTACGATAATTTAATAATTTGTTATTATTAATACTTATTATAATTAATGAAATAATAGTCAGTCGGAGGGTAATAATATGTATACTAAGCCTGAAGGTTGTGCTTTTGTACGGCGGCCATCTTGAATGGTACACATACAGAACACTGCATTGCTTCGCCATCTTGTCAGCACTCTAGTTGTTTAATAGCTCTATGGAAATTTCTCTTTAATTATTAGAATCGATTTTTTTAAGTTAGCTCCTTGTAGCTTGCAACGCAAGAAAATCAAACGTCTATAAAATAAAAAACAAAACAAAAAACTGGTGGTGTATATTATTATGCATGTAAAGCCAAGTCCATACTATCAAATTTTATGTGACAAATAAATGTGATATGCCCATATATTTGAATGTAATATCATATCATCATGCCCTTTTATTGGCACATCACAAAGCTGTCACATAAAATTACAGATCTTTAGGGTGTAATGGAGAAACAACATTATGCTTAATTATCATTTATTTTATATAGGTAGGGGATATTTGAAGTTTGTTCCAATAATTAATTCATTATTCATACACCTACATCATAACCACCATCAGCGTCAACTATTTTGTCGTCATTAATATTATTATTATTATTATTATTATTATTATTATTATTATTATTATTATTATTATTATTATTATTATTATTAATATATTATTATTATTATTATTATTATTATTATTATTATTATTATTATTATTATTATTATTATTATTATTATTATCATTGTTGTTGTTGTTGTTGTTTTTATTAAAATTTCCAGATTGAAAATAAAATTCTGAAGTTGAAATGAAAAAATAAATAAATAAAAATCAAGAACAACGAATCCCATTTACCCATATTCGGCCTTGCAATTCTGCAAGACTTACAAAAAAAACTCACTACTGTATTGGAACTATTTATATAACAATAATTAGACAGTAGCATTAAGCAAGTCATCAAGTCTGTTCAAGTCAAGAAAAACTAAACAATATATTAACGCTAAATGAAAGTTACAGGAAAGTTCAAAGGCATGTTGGAAGACGAACTAAAATATGGATAAGGCAAGGATAACCTCAGAAATACTGTGAACACCAACCAAGCAATCGACTCTTCGTCGGCCACGACAGAATGCACTGGCTCGCTTGGTAGAACGCGCAATGTCTAACGCCAACTAGTGCAGATGGTGATGATGGTACGTGTAAGTAAATTAATACATTTAAATAACTTCCTCCTCATGAAATAAGAAAAAAATTGTTTGAGAATCCTAAAAGCCCTGATTTGTTTTAATCGTCAACTGTTTAATTGTTTACTGTGTGGTCATTGTGGAGGTGAGGGCGCACCGTAAAAGCAATTTAGGATACGATAAGGGCGTGATTGTGGTGAGGGCGCACTGTAAAAGCAATTTAGGTTACGATAAGGGCGTGATTGTGGTGAGGGCGTACTGTAAAAGCAATTTAGGTTACGATAAGGGCGTAATTGTGGTGAGGGCGTACTGTAAAGCAATTTAGGTTACGATAAGGGCGTGATTGAGGTGAGGGCGTACTGTAAAAGCAATTTAGGTTACAATAAGGGCGTGATTGTGATTCCGCCTGTCGGACCGAAAGAGAAAGCACAGTATATAGAGCGTGTTTTGATGAATTACCACAGAGCCATAGATTAAATTACCATAGATTTAAGAATAATATTTATAGTAAATGGATCGCTATGTTTACTCAAACATTTTACAACTACTCCACTTGGACCTGTAAATTGGATATTAATATACAATTGATGAAATGATAATGATAAGCTAAATCAATGTAAATAAATATACTGATATAATGATGCAATTAATTTACGTTTAGTTTCTATACTTACTTTCTGTCAAACAAAACAAAAATGTTTCTGTCATCAACAAAAACTAAAACAACAAAATTACTGGAGGGACTTTGTATTGTGAATTTGACATTCTTTTTGTAACACAAAGTCACATACAATTAGGGCTTAAGGGTGTAATGGAGAAAAACAATTAGTTATTATTTATTTCATTTATTTTATTTGTGTCAGGTTGTTTGAAGTTTGCTCCAATAATTATAATATTACACCTATATCACAACAATTATCAGCGCCTCCTTTTTTTTGTCGTCATTATGTTTATAATGAACTGAAATGCACGATGAATAGATACATTTTTTCCGGAAAATGATTAGAAATCTTAAACAATAGCATAAACAAACAAATATACAAATAAACAAATAAACGAATAAATAAATAAATAAATAAATAAATCAATCAATCAATCAATCAATCAATCAATCAATCAATCAATCAATCAATCAATCAATCAATCCTTAAACCAATAAAAAAAAATAACTTAATAAATGAACGAACGAACGGGCGGACGGACAGAAGAATGAATGGTTGAATGAATAAATAGGACAACCGGTTATCGGTTATCAGCCTTCTAACTTTTGGAAAAGTGCACAAACATCGAAATAAGGAAAAATCAAAAGCTATTGACAAGAGGACGATAAAGGAAGTTAGGCCTCACAAGTTCAAGAGTACTAATCAATGATCATCTCTTTAATATTTGTCGTTATCACCTCACGTGGTCGTGGGGATATTAAAAATTCTATGATGCGATAGACCCCTGCACAGACATGATCATGGATGATTATATAAATCTCGTTTGATGGATATAAAATAGCTTTGTATTAACATCATCATCATCATCATCATCATCATCATCATATTATTATTATTATTATTATTATTATTATTATTATTATTATTATTATTATTATTATTATTATTATTATTATTATTATTATGAGATAGATTAACGTATTTCAAGAAAAGAATCTAATCCTTGTAAATTTATGTTACACATTCATTTCTGCTAAGTATGTGAGTATGAGTATGTCGTTATAAAACAATTTGTAATCTAATATTTTAATATTCATAACTATGTTTGCTTATGCCTATTCGTGAGTCTGCTGCATTTTGTATACAATTTTGCGTATAACCACTACTATCACAATCACCGTTCATCCTTATCATCATCATCATCATCATCATCATCATCATCATCATCATCATCATCATCATCATTATCACTATCATCATCAAAAATCACCACCACCACCACCAAAATAAAACAAAACCTTAAAAACACATTAACATTATAATTACACGTAAGATAAATCGATAAACAGAACTATGCATGCTTTAACTATATATGTATTTAATAGTAAGAGAAGAAATAAACGACATAAATTGATTGGCAAATTATTTTTGAATAATTTCATCAACCATCATTGTTCACATCACATTATAATCTTCAGTACTAAAAAATACAAGCACATTCGTTACGTTCACTAAATGAATAACATATCGAATATCAATAATTGACAATGTGAGAAACTAAATTGGTTAGTGTTAAAACTGTATACTTGAGGAAAATGCTAACATACATATTTGAATATTAGGTATTGCTTTAATCATTATACCTTTCGTTTTGAGTAAATTCATAAATAGTTACAACAAGCAACCGATACCGGTATATGAATACACCAATCATAATATTAAATAAAATGTAATGCAGTTTAATATCAAGTTTCGAATAAAAAAAATATGATGCTAATACAAATCTAAATCTTTTAAGAAATATTCCTAACAAAACCTAAAATTCTAAAAGAAATTAATTTGGTAATCTAATATTGGAATATTATAAAAAAAAAAATCTTAAAGTAAAGTCAAATACTATTAATTAATGAATCTTCACAAATCATACCAAAATAGCAACAATATCACATAAAACACGAAGAGCGTAACACTCAGTTACATCTAAGACGAATCAAAACACATATATATTATATTGTAGATATATAGAACAGTGACACTATATAATATAAATATTAATGAATAATATGAAAATAGGCATTTGGGCATGTGTGTCAAATATCATAAAGCAAAATACGAAATATATAAATTGATACAGAGTGCTACTGTATATCAGACGAATGAGCTCTTCGCGTAGCTTGGTGGAACGTCCGTTCTGAATCTTCCAACTCTAGCGTTCCGTGGACATAGATCGGATATTTTACAGCTTTTTAAAATTGTCCATGGAATTGATAGGGTTTCGGGTGATTTATTTTTTGAGTTTGATAAATGTGCTAGAACTAAAGGTCACTCCTTTAAGATTAAACATCAGCACTGTAGGACACTTATTAGAAATCGTGCTTTTTTATTTAGGTCAGTCCAGCTGTGGAATTCTTTATCGAATGAAGACGTTAACTCTAGTTCAATTAATTTATTTAAATCTGCAATCGAAGTACGTTTGGCTGACCATCCGCTCAAATTTGCGCCCTATGTTAAATTTTAAATATACTGTTTTTTTCGAGAGACCTATAAGCATCGTTTTGCTTGGCCTCTATACTCAGGAGGATCAGACTATAGAAGACTCTCTTGGGAAACAAGTAAACAAGTCTGCCCTCCCACTAGCGGAGTAATTTATTGGGAATTTGACAGAGTGGAGAAACTACAGAAAACAAAGGAACCCAAGCAGTGTCCTTGATTATAGCGGTGCCGCTTGGATGGAGGAAAATTGTTTTCATGGACGTTCTGCTCTGTCTTTTTTATCTATTATCTTTTGATATAATTTATTATTATTATTATTATTATTATTATTATTATTATTATTATTATTATTATTATTATTATTATTATTATTATTATTATTATTATTATTATTAGTATACACTCGAAACCAAACCCTGTTTAAGAATTCCTATATAGAGGACACTTTTTCCGGTCTCGAAGGTGATCCCTTAAAAAGGGATCATCTTAATACTGCCCCGTACTCGTAAAATGGTTTTCTTTCTTAAAGTATTCGTTACATAATGAAAATATAACTAAGCAGGCAGTTAATGAACGAAAGTATAAATTCAACAAAACTTTGTTTGCAGTATCCATAATAAAAAAAAATTAAAAAAATTAAAATGCACAACGGTGCACTTAGAAATAAACCGAAGTAATACCATAACCAAAGATTATTATGTATTAATCTGATAAAATTTATATTTCCTGCATCACTTTTTCGTCTAAGATTGTATGGGATATTAATACAAATATATATGGATTTTAAAAATTATTACTAAACTCTAAATGTAATTAAATAAGCCTTTGAAACATCTGTCATGATCTATCCGACAATTGGCAATGGACCCCGGCATCCCCTGGCAACACCCCGTCATAGTTTACTTATTCATAGGAGTAATGTAAATAATGCACACGTAACTAAAATACAATATTTCACCAGAGTATAATAATTACTTTTTTTAATTACACTTTGTAGTTGAACAAGGTCATCAATAATGTATTAATGTATATAGTGATATGTAACGACTCTCTTCTATAAATACATGTCTTCAGTGATTACATGTGTTCGATAACTACCCGGTTTCTGTTATAGGTGACACTGATTACAGTAGCGACGCTACTATCGTCATTTACCAGGTTGCTAACTCTTTTTCTGTAGCCTTGCCGCACCTAAAATAGAAAAATTACAATTAAAATACAATTATATTTTAAAGTTCATCTTTACAAAGCTTAAAGAAAATTGTTGCTTTTAAAAAAATGCTTACTGAGATAGTCAGTTTTTAAAATGTTTTTGCTAATACTTGCTACAAAAAATATTTCGCCATAGTTAATCGGTAGTATTCGTCATATAAAATGACTACAATTACATTTACAGTTACAATTTCTACAAAGAGTGGTTAAACTGTATAAATTATGATATTAGAAAATTTAGCCTTTGTCAATTAGCCTACAATAGTTTACAAAATATTTAAAGCAACATGGAATCACCTCGTTGCTGAAGGCGCACTGTGAGAGCCACACGAAGAATCCTTGCATGGAATTCAAGACAACATAGATGTATTCCACTACTTTCCAATCACAAAAAATGACGATGACACCAAAAATCCATGAAAGCCCCACGGCTGGGGCAAGGAGCAATATACCATGAAACATATTTCTGTTAACAAAATAAAATTTAAAAAAAAAACATGTGCTCACTAAATATTTATGGGAAATAATTATTATTATGTCGAGAGCACCTTATTGACAGTCCTCTATCACCTAACACGTATCATAATATATTCTCGGGTGATACAATGCAGAGTTGTCATTTCAGAGTGCATAACTCCGCCCTGTGCCTAAATATTGAACAATAAACCGTCGGTGTATTGGCGATTTTTTCCCTTTTAAAACATTTATTCAGCAAGTAACTTGCAAATTACAAGATGAACGATTCTTTATAAACCAAGTCCCTAAATGATTCTTATGGAGTGGAGTTGGTTTCTGTCGTGAGAAAAAAGTCCTGCTGTAACCGCAATTGAAGCCAAGACCCTACGATTAGAGGCTAAGCATCTTAACCACTAGGCTATTCAACTCTACTCCACTTTATGTTCGAGACTGAAAGAAAATCAAATTTCCATGACCTTGTTCTTTTTTTACCACTTTTTCACAAAATTTAATCATCTGGTTTTTTTTTATTATTATTACCTACTATTCAACTAATTTTTAATGCAATCTTGCTAGCGGATAAATAGACAGAAAATAATCAATTTACTTAATGATCGGCATAAAAAAAGAGTAGTTCGGCAAAGAATGATTATTTTTTCTAACCTGATTCTAATGAACATTTGCATTTCTTCTTCAGATTGGTTCGGTATTTTAGATTTCTTGAACACTACGTAGCCAATAACACACAACTGTACGATGACAATCTATAATAGAATGTTACATTTTAAATGAAAAGTAAGCAAATACGGTGTGTTGCAAAACCTCTCATAACTGCAAAAATGTACAATCCAGCCTATTATGAGGATATTATAGTAATAAATCTTTCAAGATGCTGGTAATATATAAAAAGGAACTGTAAGAAGAAAATATTTATACTATTAAATGATTTATATTTTTAGTATTGTGTACAGAATTTGGAATACGGCACAATTGTTATATGGAAAATGTTGAAATGCGGTTGATTCTAGAAAAATGGACCATTATCCTTAACTTGTTGGCTTAAAACAAATTGTTTAATTGTTATCGGGTTATCATGCTTCCTAGATGTAAAATATAAAACGTGTGTGTTATTAAGTTAAAGAGAAAAACATTACCAGATTGGTGAGGCAGACGATCGGAATGAAACTCCAAATGGTACCAGATTCAGTATCTAACCAGCACCTAGAATTAATATAATTTAAAAAGTAGAAATACCAGTTATTATAGTTTTTGTTAAAATAGTTCAAAGTAGTTCAGAGCTCAGCTTGCATGACAGCTGATGTGCTGCTTATTCCAACCAGTTGCGGCCACACAGATTTGAAGAAACGGAATTAAATAAATCTGACATAGGGTATAGACAAAAGAGCTGCCGACATCAAAGTCCTCGAGTAAATGCTTGAAACTGTACTTGTCCAAAATATTAGAAACTGAAATACTTTGGTAGGATTGGCTAAAAAATTATTATAGTGTAAGGGCCTCAAGCGTTTAACGAAAACATGAGGTCCAAAAACATTTTCCTCATTAGGG